AAAAACTGTTCCATGTGACCAAAGTTCGAAGCAATCATCCAGGCACCGCGTGGGCACTGCTGGTTGTAGTGATGACATCTTGTAGTTCTCTTCTATTTTGTTCATGTATACGTTTGCCAAAAGCGGCGATCCCATGGGAAGCCCAAATATTTGTTGATTGATGTTCCCGTTGAATGTGAAGCCTTCCTTATTGTCAAGTTGATTAGTCTTGCAAATGACTCCCTCCTGAATCGTTGTGATTCCAGGATATCCTCTTCTCGGTCGAGGATTTCCAACAGGGTCGTTTCCGCATTTTATCTAGAGATATTTGTATGCATGGATTCCACATCGAAACTTATCAATAAGTCTGTTTCTTCCAGAGCCATGCTTTTTATTTTTTTGAGAAAATTCATATGAATGCTTCATCATATGCCTCTCATTTAACTTCTTGCGTTTCAGACATATGAATTTTTCCTATTTGTGTGTTGCTCCATACTTGTTGTTGACTATCAACCTTAGTTGCTCGCTTTCTTTGTGTATCTTCGGTAATCTGGTCTTTTGGTGGTCGTGCATCCTTTTTTATGATTGAATTTATTGTCCATTCGTCAATTTTCTCGTTCCTATGCATATATTTAAGCATGTCACTCAAGATTTCATGATCTTCAGAGTTGGGTCCTTGTTTAGTATTCGATATGGAGTTATGTCTCGTAGAATATATTAAATCTTCTCGGTATATTGAAGTTTATGGATATTAAGTAAACCTCTCCGACTTTTAAAAACTCCAATTAATGACAGACAGGAAATCACTTAGATTCTCTGACTCAATAACAAAACGACATGACAAATTGCATAAGCTTGGTATTCTAAGATTATAATATTAAAGCTAGCACGCCCAGTTGAATTGGTTTCCAAGGTGGCAAAAACGACTGATCAGCACGACGATCGAAAGACGGCTTTACACTCAACGGGAATATCTATCAACAAATATTTGGGCTTCTATGTGATCGCGGCCTTTGGCACATGTATATATGAACAAAATAGAAGAGAACTTCAAGATGTCACCGCTAAAACCAACAGCGCCATGCGGTGCCTGGATGATTACTTCAAATGTTGGTCGCATTAAACAGTTTTTTAATTTTGTAAACCAGATTAATGGAAAAATTAAATTCATGATGAAAATAGAGGAAGGTGAGCGGTTACCGTTTTTGGATGTGGAAGTAATTCGCTCTAATGGGACGCTCAAGAAGAAATTGTGCAGAAAGAGGTATTATGACGGGATAACACTCAATTTATGGTCCCATCACAATTACAAGCTAAAGATAGGAATAATGAGGAGCATGATAATCCAAAGTCTACGTTTAACGGATGTAGAATTATGGGACGAGGAGTTGGAAAAATTGATTCGGACATTCCTGGGCAATGGCTACCAAACCGAAGTAATACAAAGAAACATACGGGCCGTGAAAAGCCGATGGCAGAACGTAGACTATGAAATAATAGTAAGAACGGAGGATTCGCAAAAGTGGATACGCCTACCTTCCTGCGAACTAATTCAAAAATGACGGCCAATATTGATGAAATGGAATATTCGAGTGATCAAAAAATAAAAATCAACACTGTTCACTATTTTATTGACGCAACTTGAAAGGGTACACAAATTCTTGGTAATTGATAGTTGAATTTTCCCACAATTATCTTAGTAGGCCCAAAAAATGCCACTGAATTTGTTAAGCTTTGCTTTTCAAAAGATATTCTTATTCTGAGCTGCAAAGGTAACTAAAATTCATTGACCTTGTGAGACTTACTTATATCCTTGTATAACATACAACTTATGCAATCTAGGGTCAATACAGCTCTTATTTTAGATCTGGTAATTTCGAAACCTGAATATAAGTTGCCTCTTACATTTGTGCGTATTTCTGAGCCTTGACAGCTTGCAAACCGATCGCCTTTTGAACCTTAGGGGAATCAGAATCATTTCTGTTATTTTTTCTTTAATATCACAACTCTTTGCTTACCTTTTGATGATTTCGCTTTCCTCTGATTTTTTTAAGTAAGAAGCGTACTTTATTGAATTCTTTATTTTCTTATTTAATATTACCCCTTTTCGGAATTTTCAAGTACCATTTTTATCTGGGATATTTTGCTTAAAGGTTAAATTGATTTGTATGCTTTATTCTCATTTAACTTCCTCGAAATCGTTCATATTAATATAGTTATCTTTCATACTTCATTAGAATTTCTTGTTCCTTCAAGTTATTGTTTGCTTAAATATATTCAAAATTCATCTGTAACACAATCTCTCATTACTTTATTATAATGTTTTTATTTTGATAATTAGTTTTCATCGGATTAAATATACAAAATTCTGCTATTATATTGAAATGATGCATAATTTTCACTTATCCCTCTTCCGCGACCATTGGTTGCCCTTGATTTCCATACTGGCAGCTCAATAGTGCTTCTTCTGAACTTGCACTATGCGAAACAGTCTGTGCACACTGTGTTGGCCTTGGCTGTCGCATCGCGTTACCTCTTTCATCGTTGCGTAGTGATTCTACCATTCGACCTTCCATCCCAGTCGGAGCTCACAACCCAGATACAGCCACGTGTGTTACACCTGATCTCGAGGATTTACCATATCTCGCCAACATCCATACGTTTATGAATACCGGACTCGACATACCTACGCATAAGAGCCAAGCGACTTTGATGACTCAGACTGGGCCTCTGTTGCCAGGAGGTTTAGCCTGGCAGTGTTCCAATCTGACATGTGCTTGGCATAGTCGGCGCCTGCTAGCTACTGAGAATATGGCCGACAAATTATCTCGATGGCCCTCTATTCTACGTCGGCAGGACTCAACGGCTTCTTGGGAAGCCTCCGAAATCATTTAAAATAGGGACAATCTTGATTAAAATTTGTTTCCACTTCGGAAAATGATGGATGCCATATTCAGATAATGTGTTATATTTCAACTTTACAACTGACGATTACTTGGGGGGTGGAAGCATTGAATACTTTATGTATCTCACTTTCTGCCATGTCAAGTCTCGTAATCATATGCCACAACATTATTTTTCTTTAGTATACTCAGATTCCTATTGATCTATAACTTCATATCATATTTTGTTGGCAGAAATTCGTTTTAACTAGTTACTTATTAATGAATAATATGTTCTTCTCTGTACCTATGTGCCATATTTATCGTTTTGATTTCTCATAATTATTCTAATTTTATTATTTACTTTGGCTCCATCACTTTTCATTCTTCAATTTGCTTGTATCTCTATAACGATGTCAACTGGAGTTTGTGCCTCTTATAGAGGCTAAATCTCTTCCAAATGGTTTTTGATTTCCCATTTGTATGCCAACTCTAGCTACTTTAGCTACTCCACAATTTACTCAGTGATATGCTCATCTCTTTTACTTGCGTATAACTTGTTAAATGGAGATTTTCCTTTCAAATGTCCAAATGCTTGCATGCAACTACGATTACCTTCTTTTGTTATCAAGATATGTCTTTGGCAATGCTTCGAAATAAGCGTGTAATTTAATGTATATACATTAACCT